TCAAAGCAAGAATCGGAAAAGCAAGACAAGTTTTCACTACTCTTAGGTCTGTGTGGAGGTCAACAGCACTCAGCATCAAAAATAAGATCCGGATTTTCAACTCCAATGTGAAGTCAGTCACTGCTACTATACGGATCAGAGACTTGGCGCGTCATGAAGAGCATCTCAAACAAACTACAGATTTTCATTAACAGCTGTCTTCGCTCAACACTCAAGATCAGATGGCTGGCCAGAAAAGATCAGCAACAGAGATTTTTGGGAGCGAACCAACCGGGAACTGATTGTGAAACAAATAGGCAGGAAGAAATGGAGATGGATTGGCCATACTCTAAGGAAACCATCAAGTAACATCACTAGACAAGCCATTGCTCGAGTGGAACCTGAAAGGGAAGCGACGAGTTGGTCGTCAGTGTAAGGGTCACTTGGAGGAGGTCATGTGAAGAGGAGATGAAAGCGTGTGGGCAGACTTGGAGCCAAGTGAAAACTCTAGCAGAGAACCGAACGCAATTAAGACGCACGGCTGAAGCCCTATGTTCCTCTAGGAATTAAAGGAAACTATAATAATAATAATAATCTATTTACGTTGTTGAAGAAGAGTCTGTACTCACGTTTATTTTTGAATGAGTTTCAGTGTAAATGGATAAAACCACCGGAGGTTGAAGCATGCTTTAGACTAAACAATATTCAATAGAATGATATCCTGTAGATGAATAATTCACTTGAAGATTCTGTGCAAGAAGTAGGCAAAAGTTGCTGAAAACTCCGCACTGTATGCAAACGTCCTGTTTAGAATAACAGTATTATTAGTAGCAAAGTAATATGATGTCATCTTTTATATACTGTTTATAATATAGTTAGCTGATTGACCTAAAACCTTGCTTTCCTTGTGCAAAACAAACTGAAATAATGCTGTTGTCAATAATAAAGAATTCACAAATATTCAGGGTTAACAATACACAACACCAGATATTCCTGGAACCTCGTGCTTACATCTGACTGATGTCATTGGCCGCCTACGCTGCTTATAATTAAACTAATATTCAGCTGTGTGTTTACGTCATTTTGGTATCCATCTACTCTAACAGGTAATAGCAGGTTATCTACAGAGTGAAATATTTAGAATAATAGCTTTGTTGACAAGTTAGCTTACAAAGAATGGTTACAATGTATATGCGTAATTGAGGATTAAAAGAAATTCTTGCAAACAACAACTATTATAATTAACCGTTGGTTAGAATTCTAGTGGATCTTTTTTTCCCACCAAGATAGGTTGAATGTCATGCAGACAGATGACACACTTCAAGAAAAAAGACGCTATTAGTTTACAATCATATTTAGGTAAAATAAATACGGTAGATTTATGCAACAGTCTACTGTGTCACAATATGCAGCAACCACATCTACACTTTCAACATGACGGCTCTTAAGTTAACTAAGTAATGAACTGATATCTACCAACCTCGCCTAGTTTTCTAGCTGGTCCGAAGCCCGGAAAAAGGAGGGTTGAGCGTGGAGGTATCGACCCTACACAATAAGAACTATCAAACTACTAGAGAAACTTTACAGCATAAAAATATGTTAAAAATACAGAAAATTCAAATAACAATCTTATTTCGATAAAGAAAGGAAGACGAAATTTGCAGTATAAAATGATATCATCCTATTTCACAGGTTCTCATCAGCTGCAGACTACCTGAAATTACAATGGTTTTAAAGGTGATAATAACATACTTTAATGTTTGAGTGGTAGTAGAGAAGAGATACTATAAAAGTGACGCATCCAAAATGAAAACATTACAATTACATTACAATATACAACACCACTTTTCCTATAAGCCACTCAAAACTGGATAAATACTCTGTTGATGTTACCTCCTACTGCGTTAATGAATTTACGTGCACTTGCGGGAGCAAGTACATTGGAAGGACAGAAAGAAGGGATTCTATCCGGTTTTCTGAACATATTCCAAGAAACCTTTGCCTAAAAGGAAGCAAATATTCTCAGAGTGCAATTATCAGACATATTGTTGATACCGGACATCTCGTAGAGATTTCTAAGTCCTTCAAAATAATAAATAGACAAAGGACAACAAATTTACTATGATTTGCCGAAGCGATCGCAATCAAACGATTCAAACCAACCAGACTTCTGCTTACAGAAAGAGAGTGTGATTAACCTCTCACTCCCTTGGTAACTGAATTCTGATTTTCATTACATTAATTAGTCATCTAATTCAGTGATCTCAACTCACTGAGCAAATCTCAATCTTATAAACTGTAACCGCTTTTGTTTTTTTTGAGTTGCTATGCGAACCTACAAGCTAACACTATTCTGTTGTTTAATTTTTCTGTTTTCTGTCTTACCCCTTTCCCCTCTTCTTTTCAACTTTGAAAACGCATAAATTGATGATGAAAACTTAAACTAAAAATTGTAATGCTTTGATTTTGGATGCGTCACTTTTATAGTATCTCTTCTCTACTACCACTCAAACATTGAAGCATATTATCATCTATAAAACAATTGTAATTTCAGGTAGTCTGCAGCTGACGAGAACCTGTGAAATAGGATGATATCATTTTATACTGCAAATTTTGTCTTCCTTTCTTAATCGAAATTTACCAAGGGAACCAAATGTATGATATAATCTTATTCTTGGCTGGAATCGGAGAAGCGAAATGACACAGCGGGGTGGTGAAAGCCTTCGAAAAACCAATTAGCCAGCCGATGTGTCTTCTTTCGATGAAGGCAAGAATAAAAATGGGGAAGTGGACGTAGAATGTACGAGGCTGGGAAGGATGCCCAGGTAGCCAAAGAAATGCGAAGATATGGTACAGAAGTGGTGGGTATCTGCGAGAGCAGATGGAATGGATGTGGATTGACAACATTGTCAACGGGAGAGTCTAATCTACTCCGGTCTGGCCATCCAGACGACAACAACGAACACACTGAGGCAGTCAGTGACTATAATGTTGTCACCAGGGGCATCCAAAGCCCTAATGCGGTGGGAACCAATTTCATCCAGGATTATGAAATCAAAATTCAACTCCAAAGGAACGAAGGTAACGTACAGTGCTACAAACAACGCGGAAAAAGAGAAGAAGGAAAATTTTTTGCAGACAACTACAAACAGTAATGTGCAAAATCCCAAATGATGACATCAAAATTCTTATGAGGGATATGAATGCCAGCCGAACGTGGAGCAGATAATACAGGAAGATAACTCATCATGGGTCAGGAGGCTATTGCTCGGAGAAATGAATGAGAACGAAGAATTATTCGCAGACTTCTGCACTTTCACTGATTTGGTGATTGGAGGCAGAGTGTACAAGCATAAGGATATACTGAAAGCAATATGGGTTTCGCCTGACGGACACACCACGAACCAGATAGATTTCATTTCAATGTTGCTCAAGAAAGTGCACACGCAGCTAGCCTTCTAGACGCAAAGCCGAGAAGGGGAGCAGATGTGGGCTCAGACCACCATTTAGTTCAAGGAACCTTCACGGTGAAGCTGGAGACAGGCCACAATTCAAGATCAACATTCAGAAACTGGACCGAAGGAAAAATATACAAAGGATGCCTTCACTACAGGTGAGAGCAAAGTCGGATACACTACGTGGCATCATTTAGGAAACCCGTGTGAAAGAACATTGAATCTAACTCTCTGAAGGTGATGTTCAGGGAAACGTATACAAATGTTCTAGGGAGAAAGACGACACACGACAAGGAATCTCTGTCAACGGACACCTGGAAGCTAATCGAGAAGGATAGTTGAAGAGAAGATGACTCAATGCAAAGACGCACAACAGAAGGAGAAGCTGAGTTCAGTGTACACTGCACTGAATAAAGCAGTAATGATGAGTGCTAGGAGAGACCAAAGACAATTCCTACGACACATTGGCAACTGAAGCAGAACAAATGCAAAATGCTTGGAAGGAAGGATAGGTACCTACCAACTGGAAGGAAAGCTGGCTCCCTTGTCAAGCTACCAAAGAAGGGCAACTTGCAGCTTATTCCGTAAGAACTGCCGTGGAATCATGTTCTTATCAATGCCAATTAAAATATCAAGTCGCGTCATCCTGAAGAGAATAAAAGATGCAATGGATGTAGAACTCTACCAACCGGAACAAGGTGGATTCAGGAAAGGCAAATCATGTGGTGATCGTCATCACGGAACAAAGTATAGAGTGGCAGTCAAAACTATACCTCAACTTCATCGACTTCGAAAAAGCCTTCGACAGACAGCGTTGACAGAGAAGTAATTTCGAAACTACTTCAACACTATGGCGTGCAGCACTCCAAGTTTTTATCAACCTCATTCAACAGCTGGCTATATGACAGTGCCACGTATCAGGTGATCCACAACGGAAAACTCAGCTAAAGTTTTGAAGTGAATACAGGAATAAGACAAGCTGGCTACCTGTTATCACCGACGATATTCTTAACTGTGATGAACTGGATTATGCGTTAGACTATGGGGAGTAAGAATACAACAATACGCTGGTCCAGTTTCGAACCTCACTGGGTGCATATTGATGAAGAGTCCAAAACTAGGATGAAACAGGTTGTATAGTACTCTCTGGTTTCCTGGTATTTCTCTAACTGATGTTAGCTCATGATCCAACCCATTAACCAATCAAATCCCTGCAAACGAACACTTGTAATTATCTATCCCTTGGTGTTTCAAAAACATACATTAGAACTCAACTCTGTAGTAAACTGGCAGAGTAGGCCCTGCATCAATGGTCCTTTAAGAACTAATAATAATGACAATAATATGTAGCTTCAACGTAAGAAAGGAGGTTCGAGTTAATAGAAGAGTCGAATATGAACTGGGTAAATTAATTACGGCATTTATAATAGAAACTACTACCTCAGTGAATTAAACCAATGTCTAGAATTGTAGTCACACGAACACATACATACACAAAATATTATCAAATAAGCAAATATGTAACTAAAGCAGTATACACTGTGATAGTTATTATTACTTTTATTGATATGAATAACTCAGAATATCAAAAGACATACAAACAAACAAAGAAATCAATAAATGTTACTCATAAAAATTCGAAATAGGAGTTTTTTTTATTATTTATCATATATATGCATATACGTGTACAGTATAAATAGAAATATATATACGGAGAAAGAGATCAGTTTTTTCACGTTCTCTTTCAAACAAAACAGATTTTGAAAGTTTTTGTAGGATATGTAGTTCACTTTACGCCTAAAACGTTTTGTTTTTGTAACTTTATTATTATTATTCCTGGCAAATAAATATTATGATATTGAACTCTATCTGTAGGTTAAACACATGCACGTACATAAAAAAAGTAACACTTAGCTGGAAGATCTGATTAAAAAGTATTTTTAAAAGAGGGGAGAAGAATATCAAGCCTTCATGAAGACCGCGAGGATTAAAAAATAAAAGAATCAATGTCACAAGTGTAGGCACTGTTAACGAGTGAACAAAATGACGAGTAAAACAATGCAGAGTTCTCATTGATACATCACAAACATTCCTCCCCCCTTTTTGCTTCAACTTAGAAATACCTCTAAAGTATTTAAGCCATCAAAGGAGAGAAAGAGAGAGGGAAAAACAACAACAACAACACAACAATCTTTACATCTTGAATTGAAACATTGAACAAGTGAATCGTAACACACTGAATATAGAACAATGCTAGAAAATGTACGTTAAGTAAGTAGGCAGGTAAGAAGAAGAAGAAGAGATGAGTATATGTGTAATCTCAATGTATCAAAAAAAATTTCGCACCTACACACATATGAGAGAATGAGTGAGTCAATGATGAACAGCATAAGTAAATGCCTGATGAACACAATGGAAAATTAAAATAATAATAATAGTAAAAGTTAAATGTGTTAGGGTGAATTGAAGAAATAAAAGACAACATGGTGGAGGAGGAGGGCACAACGGAAAGGAGAATGAGTCAATCACAGAATAATGAAATGGTTTAGGCGGTTTATTGTTATTCAGCAAGTTAGTGTGAATTGACTCTATTTCGCTTGCTTCAAATAATAATAATAATGATAAAAAATAGTAGTTGTAGAAGTAGTAGTAATAGTAGTGGCAATTAGTATTATCAATCATGTATAATTTGTTATATAGTCCTGTTTGTTCTCTATGAGTGTGTGTGTGTATGTGTGTGCTTTAAACTCTTTCCAAATATTGCGTTAATCCATCAATAAGCAGACGATTTCTTAGATTGCATAATTCTCTAGACAATCGATCAATATCATTGGCTTTTTCATTCAATTGTGTTTCAAGTGTTAATGTGTGCGATTTAATTGTACTAATCAAATGATTGGCATCATTTAACATTGAACGTAAAGCTAAATTTAAACAAAGGAGAAGAAGAATATATTTATATATTGTTAATTAATTATTTAATATTAACCAAATTATTTTATGATAATAATACTGAGAGGAAATCCAATTCCTTTTTTGGTATACCCATCAATCACAATGACTGAGCAAGATGAATTGGGTCTTTTCATTCTGTTGCGTTCCACGTGGGACATAGAGCTTCAAGCTCGAGTTCTGAATTCTCAGCAGGGCTTGTGGTTTTACTAAGTCAGGTTGCTAGCTTCATGCCCAACCTTCTGGCTATCCCCGGCTTGCTGCCAGCTAGTAACCTAGGCGACGTATAGGAGTGAGTCAGCTAAGAATGTAAGCTCGATTACATATATGGCGTTGGTGAGCGTTCAACCATTAGAGGTTTAGCAGACATAAAGTACACTAATATCTGAATGTTTAAAAATTGGAAGAGAAAATTCAATGATTAATGCATAATACCATATACTACTAATTGACTTCAATGAGTAGTTATTTACGACACACTCACACCAACGAGTAGTAATGCTTACTAGCTAGATAGAAATGATCGAAACACCGGACAGCCGACTTCATTAGAGGCGTACTCGGTTCGACTCAGCTCAATTTAATAGGGCCAATTTAATTCACTTCAAACTACCCGATCTCTTGCTAAGTATGACTAAAAAACCAACTGTGAACTTCTTCATCTCTTTAGATTACTGTAGTCACACGGAAAATTTCATGATAGCAAAAGTACACAACGTATTGTCTGCAATGATCAGTATGAAGCGAACGAAGACAACAGATATTCAGTCGCTTCATGTATTTACATCTGACATTCACTCAAACATAAAAGATTGTGTGTCATTCTGAAGAAACTGCTACTGAATCGTGTGATGAACTTCTACAGTTATCCGTTGAATTACTTTTTCTGAGAACTACTGTTACTATTCTTGTCATCATCGATTGATATAAATATGAGTAATGGTATTCTACTCACAAAACCATCCAGTTAATAATACTTAATCACTCTGTATTATATCAAATAAATCTATATAATGTAGAATCACACTCTTCCACAATACCTACGTGCTAGTCTTAGTACTATTACTACTACTACTCAACTGTCATGCAATTTTCATATCGATTAAAAGATGTGTCAAGAAATGTTAATATCCTGTTCATTGGTTTACTTTAAAGTTCAACGTTTATAAGTCCCGTGTCTGTGAAAAGTTTCCGACTGTGAAGCAGTTTGTATAATCTTCTAAATAAATACTTTCCCAAAGCCTACTACTAAGTAAGTAAACTGGATGGTTTATGAAACATTTACAGTTTATCTCTTAAATACAAATACTTCACTTTCCAGTGCTTCACATCAACTGCATTCTCAGTCGCCACGAGGTTCAGTGGCGAAGAGCAAAGCATCTCTCGCTAAACAACCATCTATAAAGGAACTAACATTACGCTTAAAATACTAGAAAAATACTACAAATACAAATATTACTTAAACAATACATCAGAAGAGAAGATAGTAGTCACTTCTGTTCTAATTTAAAAATCAACAGAGAAGCATAAACCAGTTAAATGAAGAAATATAGTATCAAATATAACATAAAATGTTAGATTATGTGGCTTAAAGTGTTGTTCCCCTCTACACAATTATCTTGTAAAAAGAAATTTAATTGTACAAGTTGTGATCACTTCGCCATCTACTCTACACTGTTCCATTTTATGCCTTCACCATGTACTTATAGAAGTTTTATAAATTTTTAAGAAATTTTACAAATGATAACTAACCTTCATTTTCTAATCGTAAACTCTCATCTTCAACGGCTCCCATGATACCTGAAAATGTAGAGATAAACAGGTGATTAGAAGTTATATAGACTTGATCAGACCATATATGCTGATGATTCACTAAGCTGATTTAAACATATAAAAGAACGCTATCTAGTTTCATGAGGAAGTGAGTTTATCCGATCAACTTTATAAGTAAGATAATAGACACCAATAATAAGACCGAAAATCCTATCGACTCTGGTTTGAATTACACAATAACTTCAAATATCATCAGTAAACAATCTTACAAAACAGTAGAAATGATCACGGAAACTAAACAACGTCAAAATAATAAAGATAGTGTCATTCCTGCAAACCAACCCTCGAAGATTCATATCTAGTGACCACAAGTGACTAACTACAAGAAGAAATCACTTGAAGTTCCTAGTAGGAAGTCGTAACTAGTGGAGTCCACCAATTTCGGTTTGATGACAAATCTTAGTAGATGACACTGGCTGACGGTTGCGCCATACATCGTAAACTAGCAGAAGTTAGAAATGATAGCCCATTAGATTGCATCCTAATGGCTGAATAGCCAACGAAGATACGTTGTAACCTGAAGGTCCTAGGTTCGAGCCTTGGTAGGACCATGGATGCGTACCGCGGAAGAGTCCAAAGCAATGATAAAACAGCTGTCCAGTACTCCATAGTTTTCAATGGTCCTCTAGCCGAAGTCGGTTCTCAATAAGACCCGAAATCAATGAAATCCCTACAAATAAGCACTTGAAAATACCTTAGCTCTTCTTAAAATGACCAGTCAACAAACATGCTTGTAGAAAAAAGTTTAATTTCCTGATAAAATTTGATGCATATAATGTATGAAAGTTATTTGTATCAAAATATTAAAATTTCGCAAAAACCATGAAAAACAGTGGCAACAACAACTTACTTTTAGATCGTCCAGAAGCAGCACTACGATCTGAACCACGATGTCGTTTTGACAATTCATTGAATTCTACTGTTTGATTAGTTTCAACAGACATAGCTGAGGTAGTCTCCATTTCTGTGTCTTCATTTAATCGATTATGTGAAGTGCTTAAAGGTCCTGGGGGTATTTTGTTAACCTGTTGATTAATTTTATTTGTATTCGTCTTTAGTAATGATGATTCTTTTGTATTGTTTCTTATTTTAGAGAAACCGTCTTGTTTGTTTAATTCATTTCGTTTAAATGGTGGTAAAGTTTTAGGCATAGTATCTGGAGAATTCAATGTTGAACCGCCTAATTCTGATTCACCGGTAGGACGTCCTTTTTGTGATACAAAACTTTCACGATCATGTGTAGTATTTGAAAGGGCTAAAAGGAAAAAGCAATATTAAATGAACACCATATAGAGAGAAGGACGAAAATGAAGCATTTTGTATTGTTTAATATCTAAAACTTTCTAAAATTTATCACTAAAAACTCATATTATATGTCTTCTCGTTTACTTGTCTTTTCGTTCACTTTAAACGGAGATAATTTTAGAAGCGAAATATAAATGGGATTAGAATACAATACTGCTGCGAGCCAACGAGTCCGTCAGTGGTTCAGTGGTAGAAATGCTTGCCAACAACGCCGCAAGTGGTCCGGGGTCGATTTCCCGATCGACATACTCTCAAGTGTCACGTAGCCGGTAGTAAGTCAGGTAAAGAGGGAAGCTTGGTTGTGATAGTGTTAACCTCATCCTGTAAAAGTAACACAACCACCGCTACTGAAAATGTAAAGGCCAAGCTTCAACCTCAATGTTCTACTCGGAGCACAAAGGAATGAGAAAAATGAAGTCGATAGGAATCGGACAAAAGAATAGTATCAAAGCATTCACTATAAGGTAATTATATGCAACAGTCGTCGGATTCTAGTGGCACGGTCATTTGTTTTTAAAAAAGGAGACAGACGAAAAAACACCACCATGAATAGTTTGGCAATATCACATAAATATCTCCATTATATGCACTCAAAACAACAATAATAATTAGAGCAAACGGTTATTTCCAATAAATTCTTCAGCCTCTACAATTATAATGCCATTAAATTTAGCAGAAGATACTATCCAGTAAAGACAAATTAAAATTTCATCATCAGCTGACATCAGTTAGAGAGCCATTGGAAAACCTGGGAGTACTGGATAGCCACTTGTTTCGTCGCAGTTTGGGACTCTCTTCATCAGTACGCACCCACCGCCAGGGTTCGAACCCAGGACCTTCTAGTTACAAGGCTAGCGAGCTCGTAGACCATTAAACCACTGGGACCCGATCCAATAGCCAACCCATGAATTCTAACTTCTGCTAATCCCAGGCTTTCCAATGGTTCTCTACCTAATGTCAGCTCATGATGAAATCCTCCAATCAGACTAAATCCCTACAAAAAAACTAATACTTGACAAATCAGAATTATACATCAGAAAGTCTATTGCATGGTATAAATATCATATGAAATAATAGTCAGTGAGCTTTTGATTACCACTTAAATCTACATAAAGTGAATATTTGGTCAATAAGGACAAGAGACAGAATTAAATTAAATAATTCAGCAATGTGTTTGTATATTTAAAATCAACAAAAAGCCGCACAGCTTTCAATAGGTGAGTGCAGTAAATTACTGTGTGAGAGATAATATAAAATATTATAGAGAAAAAAAAACCAACAAGTAGGATAAGCTAAACGTAAGTTCAAGGGTAACACAATTTAACAACGATAGTGTGGTGTACACACAAAAGTACTAGTAGTGAACAGTTATCATATGATTTTATACATGATTCAATTGATACTAGCCATAAATGGATTTTAATAAACGAGTTTCACCTTGTTTGAGCCTTGTCAGTTGAATGTAACAACAACTATCAAACAAGCAGTGTCATATTAAACTCACGATATCATCGAAACTTCTATGATAGGAGCTGACATGTCGCTGACATGAGCCTTTCGATTCGCTGGAACCGATTAACTAGAAATTCAAAATAACCTGAGTGTGTTATTTCTAGGGATTGTACGATTTCCCCTAAGATAATGTGACATCATTGATCTTTAAGTGCACAACTGCGGAAAACTACATACTACTGGTTGATTGGGACAAGTAGTTATATATCACCCACATAAACCAGTTGTTTTTGCTGACCAGATTGAAGTGAACTAAACACTGGACAGCTGTTTCATTCGTTTGAGGTCGAGAGATGTACCCGGTTTTACTCAAATGAGGGGAGCGGTCCTAGACGAGAGTATATACATCACTTCGATCTGACCAGTAAACACTACTGATTCATATTAGGGTGGTATACAACTACTCATTTTAATCAGTCAGTAGTCTATGGTACCATTCGTTAACGCTTATTTTCTTGATTACCATTTAAGGTTTTTGCGAGTTGATCAAGGATTGGTAACAGTTAGAGAACCATTGAAAACCAGCACTGGAGTACTGGACAGCTGTTTCATCCTAGTTTGGGAATCATCGGTAGTACGCACCCACTCAACATCTAATTCCTACATTATTTATGTGATTGTTCACATTATGAAAGCAAAACGACGAAAACAAATCTAGCTAAACTCCTGAAGTGACCGTAAGTTCTCCCCTATGAATATTCGCTTTCCGAAAGAATAATTTAGAACAGAACGCAATATGGTTAACCATTAATTAATTGCATTGCAAGTTGAGTAATTCGACATTTAAGAAAAAAGGTGCTATCTACTAATTATGAACCAGCTTAGATTCACATTCACATAACGTCTCAGAACACTTTTTGTCATCATCTCAGATGCAAGACATTCTTTTTTTAAATATTCGAAGATTTCACATATCAGTTGACACCCCGTTTCACACGTCTTTTTTTCTCATGATCTCATGGAAGAAAAAACGACAATTTTTCCAAGTATCGGTTTGTACGGATTTGATTGATTGGTTGCAGGATTTCATTATGAACTGATATTGGTTAGAGAACCATTGGAAAACAAGCTGGGAGTATTGGACAGCTGTTTCGTCCTAGTTTGGAACTCTTCAGCTCAATGACTACGAGCTCGCCTTGTAACCAGAAGGTCCTGGGTTTAAACCCGCGATGTGGGTACGTACTGATGAACAGTCCCAAAATAGCTAGGGCGAAACAGCTGTCCGATACTCTCAGCTTGTTTTCCAATGGTTCTCTAACCAATATCAGCTCATGATGAAGTCCTGTAAACGATAATTTTTTGCTCAGAATCGGTATTATTTTATTCCGAAGACATTAAGAAGAAAATTTACTGTCTTAATAGTTTGTGATGTGAATTTTGGCACAAGAAATGTGTGTTCCACAGTATTACGATATTACTAATGAACATAAGAAATTTTTATCTGAAGCATGTGATATAAATTTTCGTTATTGTTATGATGAATAATACAACAAGCATTATAATAACCAAATGATTAAGGTAATGTCAAAAGCTCATTAAAAAATTTTTTTAATGTGGCTTTGAAAATGCACCTGAAATATGCACCAATTTCGCGTGTGATGACATAAAACAAGAAAACAACCCATCATTCTCAAGTCAAAATATTTACACCTAATTACTTATTTCAACTGAAAAAGTATTCCATAAGAACATTCATTATAACAATTTTACATAAAGGAATTTCTATATAGAGAAAATATTCAATCAGACATATAGAAAAAGCCAAAATAATTGAGCAAAGAATATCCTTTTCGATAATTTCCTCTTCTGGCTCTACAACTCTCTCTCTCGCTGCATATATATATATATATGCTGAATATTCGCACTGTTGAAGAGTCCCAAACCGGAACGAAACAGCTGTATAATTCTCTCTGGAGTTTACAATGATTTTCTCACTAATAATGATTCCTCACAAAATCTGCACTGAAATTAGATAATAAATAGTTTTGCTTAGCAGATATACCTGAAATTACTTTATTTTAAACCTGATGAAATTCCATTTAAATCACGCCATAAATTACTATATTTATTTAACCAATAGTAGTCATAATCTCATTAGAAATGTGTTTTATATTCAATAATAAACATCTAATACTGATGAAAATGACAGCGATAAAACACGTGTTCTTGCAATTATGAGAAAGCAAAGCAAAGCAAAGGTACCACATAACATACTAATTAGTTAACATGCTCTCACAGTGTATGTATGTATGTATGAATGTGCGTTTGTGACTTACAGATTTTGAAAAATGAAGAAACAGTGTCTACTTCAAATCGGAAGATAAAAAAAGGCGGAGGCTGATAGTCAAACTTCCTGATGACCTGAAAACAAACAAAGTAGTAAACCAGCCACTTTGTTTACCTTAAAGTCTACAGAAATGTCAACAGATGTTCTATAACCAATGATAATTATCAATTTAAAATTTCTATCTTATTCTTCTCCCTTTTTAACCTTGTTCCTTGTGACAAATTTTTATATTAGAAGGTCCACGAGTTCATGACCTCTATTATTAGGTCTATTAACCTAGGCTTACGTAATATTTTTCACATTTGTTAGTAGATACACCACATTAAATTCTTTACTATTTGATAGTTGTTCACTAATCATTTCGCTGTAAGCGCAGTGTATTTCATTATTACAGCTGTTTATCACCTATTGAAGTACATCCAGCGTATCCTGTTTTTTTTCTTATCTTATTTCTTTACATTCGTAGTAGAGCATAGGTAACAGTAGTGTTTACTTTTACGGGATAGGGTTGCTAGCCTAAAGCCCAACCTTTCCTCTTTACCAATCTTATTACTAGCTTAGTCAGATACAGGAGTGAGTCGGCAGGGGATCGAACCTCAAACCACACGCGTGGTTGGCGAGAATTCTACCGCTATACTACCAACGGACTGCGTAGTATCCTAATAGACTGCATATTCCTTTATAGCATTAATATTGTCTCTACAACAACTGATTACAACTTTTCACCCTTTTGAGAGCTACGCTTTTGTTGGTGAGAAATTTATACACACGTCGTTCATATTGTTATTTCTTGGAGTTTTTACTTTGAATTACCCATTATCCTGAGCTGAAATGCTCGGTATCTGTTGTCGTGTCTGCTGGACAAGAGGTAACTGTCGTAGCCTTTAACGTTTGAAACACTGAGTGCTAGTTTCTAGGCTCAACGAGAAACGGGTCACCATCACTCACTCACTGACTGACTGGGGAATGCAGCTACATCAAACTGATGAGTCCCAAACAGGACGAAATGCACATCCAAGATTCCATTGTTAGCCACTATCCACCAAATAATGTTATTCAAGTTATTTCATCTCACCTTTTTTTTATTGACCATACATTCATTTTATAAGCATTTAAATAATAGCCAAAACAAACTGATTGTTATTCTACCA